GGAAGGCTTCCGATTTAATACGTCGAGAGCTGAGCATCGATCGTAGTCGTGCTTTCCCGGGAGATTTGCCCCTCAGAGAAAAGAGGGCCAACTTACCGCCGCACGGCTTCGCGTACTAAGCTTCCGCTATGACCGCCCGGGATGGAATGAAACCCACCCTTCTCCTTGGATTGAATCCGGACCGTAATACGCTCTTGGCTACGCACTCAAACGGTCCGCGCTCTCGGAAAGAATGGTCCACAAGGGGTTGTAGCGGAAAAAGGACCTCGTCGACGGTTGATTTGCGACCGTCGGAAACGTTTCGCTCCGTGGAATAGCGAGCTTCACTCTTCTCCGTTTGGCTACCTTTGAACAGGCGGGCCTTCGCTTGGCGCACGAGTCTGATGGTCCGTTTCATACGGACGACGGAATAGATGCCACTTAACAGGACCCCTTGTCCGGCCTTGCGATAGTCGAACTGAAGATAAAAATCCAGCCCGTACAAAAAAAAACGCAAAGCGCTGGAAATCCAACGCGAACTCACATTAATTAAATAATTACAATATAGACTAAAATCAATTATTACCTTTTTTGTACAAACTTCACTGAAACAAAACGAACAGACTACGCGGAATTTAAAACTACCTTAGCTACACTGTACAAAGAAAGAAAACGTCTTAGTAAAACTTCTGAAAATAAAACTCACTCACTAAAGTTTAACTACCTTTTTAAGGCAATTCTAAATGCACAAACGACTTTTAACGAGAACTTAATTCGCGCACTTCTGTTCACCAGCCGATTCGAAAGCGAAATGGACGAGTCAGAGTACCTTTCGCGGGGAAGAAAGTTCCTAACGACATTCTTCTTTAGAAATTAAGGTTGTCTTTTAAAAAACGATTCTTTTATTCAAAAATTGCGCCAAACTAATCGAATGGCGAATTATTTTATGGCGCCTTCCGAAAGCATGTGCAATAAAAGCTACTATCTATAAAGATGAGCTTTTTATATCAAAAGGTTTATCCAGGACACCTAACCATAAATAACGCGTAACTTCGATATGAAACGCACGAAATATTTCACTACTGAATGAAATCTAAATGAAAATTTAAATAATGAAATGAATTTTATTTTAAATTTAGTTGAACTTAATCGATAAAATATTTACAGGAAAAAAAAAAGAAAACCGCACAGCGTTACAAAGTTAAAGAACGTTTTGGGATCAGATTTTATATTGTTCTCTAATTTTGAATTGTAATTCTCATATGCTGACGATATTTCTGCCTCAAGTGCTTCGCAAATTTCAACGTATTTTTCTAAATTTTGTGACGTTTTAAACTTTTTATACGCCTTGTGTGCTTTTTGCTTCCTGTTTTTAATACTTCTGATATTTGGTGCTGTTCATTATTCTCTTTAGCCTTTTAGGGACGAATACTTCAATGATATTGAATAAGGTAGTATAAAATATGTCAACAGCCTTATCCATGTCGTTTTCATCTTTTTAAAGGTTTTACCAATTTTTGTTATTCAGTCTGCTGTTAAATTCAGGAACATTTGAATTTTTAAAATCATAAACTAATTCAAAATCAACAACGCTTGGGCGTGCCCGATGCGATTCTGTGAACACTGAGTATTCAAAAGCCGTATGAAATTTTTCATTCTTCCATAATGGAACTGCTACTTCTACAATACAAAAATCTTCTGTAGAATTAGTAAACATAAGATCCAAATAGGAATTGAGCTGGTTACGAACATGGTTTATTTGATGAAGTCCCAAGTGGCTGCTTTTATCAAAGATGAATTGCAAAATATCGTTTTCACCTACAATTGGTAACAGCAGAGAATCATTATCACCATTCTGTATAAAATTAACAGTATTCTGGTTAAAATCTCCATAAATATGAATTTTGGTTCTTGAATCTTCTCTTTGAATTTTCAGTTCTGCAGCAGTGAAAAACTTTTCGTAAGCTGGTTTTTTGGAAAAGTGTAGAGGAAAGTAGATAGAAGTGAAAAGATATTCTTCACCGTTTATTAAAATTTTAACCCACGCATCTTCAAATTCTTTTTGGCTTTCACTAGCAATTTGTTCAGCTTGAAATGTAGCATTCACAGCAATAAGTACACCACCACCTGATTTTTTACCTGATAATGATAAATCGCGGTCACATCGAAAAACACAAAATTTACTACCAAAGACCTCTTCGCTATTAATACTATCAGACCAACTAGTTTCTGTTCCAATTATTATATCATATGTGCATCCGCTTATTTATTTCGAATCTCATTTATGTTATACGCACTACGCATACGGTTAAAATTTTATCAATAGACTGTAATTTCACTTAAAAAAGAGCTACTTGATAAACTAGCAACATGGTCACTTACGTCGTGCTGGTCAGGGGGTGAAGTTGCTGCATACTGTCCGAAATCCCTCAAGTTATGTGAGATGCCATGATCCTCGGGCTCAGCTGCGATGTCATATTCTACCTCAGGTGAGTGCGTCAGTTGTGCCGAAAACACGCATGTCTACATGTGCACGGCTGACACGATGTAGAGGAAGAATTTCCCGGAGCTATACCATGTGAATTCGGAAGACCGCTTACTGGGTAGGGGTTTATAGTGTCTTTTTTCAAACTGCATCGTAGGTTGATAATTAACCGGTGGTTTGTTGAAGACATTTTTTGCTGCTGAAAGAAGCTCTCGATCAGGCTGTGTATGTTGTTCCTTACGTTAGAATAATTTCGTGCTGTATTTTGTTTTCTTTTCCTTCTAGCTTTTTCAGCATGTTTTTGTTGATTTAGCAGTCGTGATTTGCGCGCATCGTAATCTGACCAGTCTGCCTTCCAGACCCTCCTCATGCCCAAAAGACGCCACCCTGAGTCATCAACGTTTTGCTCATTGTTTAACTCTTCCAGCAAACTGGGGAGGGGGTCAGGTGATGGTGATATCACTTCGTATGGGGAGTCCGGCGTATTAAGTGTGACACAGTTAATTTGGGTTTCGATGTTCCCAATACCCGCCGATAACGATTTCAGCTCATCTAATACAATACCTAACCCTAGTATAGGGTTTTGTTGCGTTGCGACAGTAGAGCACAGGTCAGAAGTTATATTGCTGATATTTTTCAGCTCGTCCTTGAGAAAGTTTAGTTCGTCGGAAATTTCTGATGTCATTGTTGGCATTGAATTTGCAAAATTTTCTTCTGAAGCTTTCATCGCTATGTCAAAAAACGAGGTAATGTGGTTTTTAATCGCACTAACGTTGTCAGTAGAACCACTGCTTCCAGTTGCCGTCAGCTATTTTTTTTATCGACGAGTAAAGCATCGAGTAAAGTCGGTCGGTAAACCGTGGAGCGATGAGTCAGCTCCGTGTTTTTGTTGACTTGGTCGACCAGCCGCGCTTGTTGCTCCACAAGCGCGTTGAACTCAAAACTAGCCGTTATCATAGTTTGGCATGAGCTACAGCATGGTAATACATAAGACAAAATGTTGATTGTCTTGTCTCTCTTGCGAATTGAGCTCCTCTGAACAGGCACAGGTACAGATAATCCTAGGTAGGCTGTGTGGAATTGACGCGGGCATCCAGCACATTTCCACATGCCGGAGTCAGTGGAAGAATCCACAGCTAATTTTAACGGCGTACAACAACAAAAATTAAAAAAAAAAATACACGCACGCAAAACGGCACCCGCACGCAAAAAATAAAATGAAAACGAACTTAAAGCGCACGCGGCTAGGAACGACTGCAAAACGCGTCCACACTGATTGACGATTGACAATAGAGTTCAGTTAGATATTGGTCGATGTTCTATGTAGTTTTATTTTGATTCTATAACTGGATATGTCAAAGGCAGAGCTTCTGAATTTTGTGATTTTGATGTTAAAATAAAAGAGACTTTAAAAACATTATAACTGGTGGGCATATTGAATATTGGGGCCTCCTTTAGCTCAGTCGGTAAAGGCGCAGCTACAAAGCAAGACCATACTGGAGGTGACTGGGTTCGATTGCCGGTCCGGTCTAGGAATTTTTCGGGTTGGAAAATTTCTTGACTCCCTGGGCATAGAGCATGATTGTACATGCCACACAATTATACTAATGCAAAAATGGTAGCAGGCATCGAAAGCTCTCAATTAATAACTGTGAAAGTGCATCTAGAACACTAAGTTGAGAGCACGCAATAAGCTAATATGCCATAAGCAATAAGCTTGAAATGCAAAGAGGAAGGAAGGAAGATATTGAGTACCCAGAACCCATCAGCCCAGAACATGTTTATGATGTCCTTGGAAAAATTGCCCTTATTTTTAATCCTCATCAAAATTTATCATGAAGCAAATCAAATTTGAGTATTCAGGGTAAAAGTGCCAGATGTTTTAAGAAAAAGTCTTAAACAAGATCGAATACATTTCTCTGATATTTTAAAGTCTCTGATATTTTAAATTTTATATAATTTTTTCGAACTCTTTTACCGCTACTGGGATAAATACGTGTCATAAACACAAATTTTACTTATAGAAGGAAAATCGATGGAAATTTTTATAGACATTTGGAAATTGAAAGAATTGAGATTCGAATTTTTAAGATTCGATTGATTGAAGAATCTGTGACTGTGAGATTTAGTGCCAATTTTAAAATCATGAGGCAGATTCCTAAAATTCTAAGAAAAGGAAATTTTATAGGGCTGAAGAAATTTTTCAATTTCTGGAGCTTAAAAAAATAATAATCGAATATTCAAAATTCTGCAACACAACAACATGTGAAAAGGTCATACAAGCTTTTTTGTAAAGAATCCCTCTTATGCTTTTTTTCTCGCCATCCATATGACACCAAAGCAAACCATAAACATCACCGGGTAGTAGAAGCTTTTCTCTTCCCGATTATGTAGCTGGTTTGCGTGGGTGACCCTCGGTTGGCAAAAATCTTGTATGCCCTTTTCACATGTGGCTCTTGTTCATTTAATATTATTATGTATTCGGATCAATACAGTCAAAGCAAGCCAAACACTGATCATCATCGTATGATATAAAATGTCAAACAGACGGGAAGTAGTCATCATTCCCACGGAGGAACATCTGAAAAAGGAAAAGCAGGCTTTACTGGGATTGAAGCTTATGGAAGCAGTGAGTACTGGAAATGTTGTTAAATTCAACCAACAAAAATGCTAAAGCAAATCGTTCTCTTCCTTTGGTACCTTTGGCTGATTGGATTCCTGGTAACCGTGATCGACGTGCTGTTTGTTCTGTTCGACGTAACCTACGATTTTCTGGTGGGAAGATTTGGAGCATAATGTGCATCGGGCTGCATTCGGTTGGCTTTCAGAATTCAACGGAACCGTTCCCGTACCCGTACGAACAGCTATTCTGTGGAGTTTTCGTGGGATCCTCGCTGATCTCGACCATTTTCTTTCTGTCCGTTTGCTGTGGATACATCAAGATCAATTACGTTGCTGAAACGGTGGTTTCGTTGATGAGTTTCGTGGCATTTGCCGCCTGTGGATTTATTGCGATGTATCACGTCGAAAACGATGTTCACCTGAAGTACATGACCGGCAAGGAGGAAAAAAGTCACAAGTTCTTTATCCGCGGTCGAATGGAGAGTATTTTGTCGATGCAAACGTCTGGGATATTTCTTGTACATGGAGTACTTATGTTGGATGCTCTGGGCTGGTTGAACACAGTGTTTGGAGGATGCCGTTCACGACTAATCGTCTACGGAAGAGATAAGCATGCCTATTATGGGCGGTTATGTTTGAACCCTTTCTGGATACTGCCATGGGAAAAGATGGTACACTTGTTTCGAAAATGCTGCCAAAGAACACCTGAATAAACGAATTAGTGTTTTATCATACTGCTTTTGTGACAAGTTAAAGAAATAAAATCGATTTTTGTGAAGCTTTTCTTCGTTTATTAAGCAAAATTAGCGTTGTTAATCAAAAACCGTCGGCAACGCAACGCCTGCAATGGTGAATTTGAATTGTAGATATTAACGCAGACGTTGGGGCTTATTACGGATGTCACTTCACGGTGAAACCTTGTCACTTGTCATCACGGTGAAGTGATTCCCATTTGATTTGTACGGCAATCACGGCTCTTATTCTGAGTATCACTTCCTTATCACTGTGTAGTGACACTAATAATAAGGCCCGTTATCAACGGTTATTGATTATCAATCCTGGTTAAGTTTATTTTAGATTAAACTCCTCATTTTGCTTCTGAGCCCATCAACTCTGTAGTATGTATTACAACCTGTGATTTGTTTAATGCTGTTTCTGATTTTTACTTTGGGATAACAGCATAATCGTGTACCATTGGACTAGCTTCATAGCTCAGAGCTGATGGATGACCAACCTTCTTTAACGTTCTCGAAATTCTGTTGATATTTGATTATCCTCATACTTGGATTGGATTATCATGTGATTTGAGGTGTCACATGAAGGGTTTTACTTCATGGCATATTAGAACCCTCTCCTCTCCTTGCTAGACTCTGTAAGATATTCAGTTCATCCCCCTCATTCCTTAAAATCTTAGTAAGATTTCAAAGTTTTTAGAAAACTGAAAAAATGAGTTAGGAACATTTTCATACAAGGGAAATGAGCGCTTATTTTTGTATGAAGGTGCATTTTATCCCGGAGCATTTTTTGCAAAGAATGATTCACGAAGAAGTGGTTGCGAGCTCATACGAAAATTTTGTTTTCGCCAAAATCAACGGAATCTTTGTATGCAGTTACTGCACATCCCCTAAACGGACTATGGAGCAGTTTTACCATGATGGATGTACCCAAGAGCTCATTGAAAGGAAGTTGATCGTCATCGAAGGAGATTTCAATTGGGGGAACAGATGTACGAACGCAAGAGGTTATAGTCTACTGGAAACACTTGCCAAAATAGAAGTAAGTTTGACCAAAGAAAGCACCATCAGCACATTCCGCAGAAACGGTTGAGACGTCACTTTCTGCAGTCCGTTGCTGGTGACAAATATTAAATGGCCATGAGGCGATCCGATATTTCATTGGCCAACGTAAGTCTGTGGCTATACGTGGGACGAGTACATGCGTGCGGAAGTGGAAGACGAAAGCTTTTGATAAGGCTATTTATGTCGAAGTTCTCCGTGTGCACGAGTTGACAGAAACGTTAGCGAGGGCATATGACACAACCATGCCGTGGAAACTGAAGCCAAGGAACAGACGGCACCGAGTATACTGGTAGAACGAGGCACTCAACGCCCTCCACGCCAGCTGTCTAAGGGCCAGAAGAAGTAGCGATTTTGGTTTTGTAGAGTGCTTAAAAACCATGATAAAACTTGTATTACGGGTATTCACGTAGCGAATTGTAACTGTGTAAACCCTCGTAAATGCGTTAAGTCCATTACACTTAAATGGGGCCTAGTTCTTTTACGATAATGTAAATATGCATTACGTGAATAACGCTATTGAATATGGCTTATGAAGTGGAAAAGATAGTCAACTGCTAAGTTTGCTTAGAGTAATAATATCGAGCTACTCAACGAGCAAAAAATGTACATTGCCGTTTAAACCAAAATACACTAGAAGCCCGAGATAAATGGGTTTCCTTCCTGATTTCCTTGATCTTGACCTTGAGGCTTGATCGGACCAGCTCAAGGGAGGCAAGTGGCCATCGCTGTACGGAGACATATCTGCAGTCAGCTGCTGCGAAGTTACCAGCTAAAACCATCGAAGTCTACACTTATGTCGGCCCTACTTCTATCATTGCGGCCTATTGTCTCCAACAAGTCAACATCAGGAACGGGTCGACTGCGGACATTTTTCTGGAAAATTACGTCATAGCTAGTGACCTGAACGTCACACACCAAGCTTTCCGCAACAGTCAGCGCAACCTAAATTGGCCCCTTATAGAACAATGATCGCAAGAAGCTCATTACAGCATCTTGAGCCTGAACTCTTCCCCCTGGTTGGGTCGATCCGGGTTGGGTCGACACGCCATCATCAATATCTGCATAAGCAACATGGCCATGGAATAACGTGTTTTGCAGAGATTTGCACAGCCGATCTCGGTAGAAAACTAAGTGTGTACCAAGAACTCAGCTCAGACCACTATCCAGTGGTGGCCCAAGAGGGATCCTATGTCAACAGGCTCCAAGCTGCCCGGCGCAACTACAAATATGTTAACTGGTGTTACACTCCATTGAGAAAGCGATATCCCACACTAGATATCAACACGTACCAGTATCCAGACAAGTGAACAATATTCTAAACCTTGACATACTCACCTTTTTAAGACCTTATAGGCAGTACCAACACAACAACAAATGCCAGCAGGATGGTGGACCTCAAAAATAACGCCTTTACTCTCTACCAGATCGCGCAAATCCGTTCTAGAAACTAACCAAAAGTTTAAAAAATAAGTCGAGGCCCATTCCACCACTGGTTGCAACGATTCAGTGACTCATCTGATACCTCCTGATGATAAAGGTCAATACGTCGTTTGCTCCCATAATCTCGGACAAAACATAAGAACTTCACACAATGCAGCCAGCTTCCATCAGATTTCCAACAACTTTGCTGAGGAATCGGAGACTTACTGCTAGTTATTTCAAATCATCCAAAAACATGAAGGCCCCAGGTTTCACAACATTTTGAATAAATTTGAAGTGAAGATTCTAAAATCATCTCAGCTTCCCCTCGGTTGAGCCGTGTCTGAAATCAGCTTAAGTCACACCCTGAAACCTGGGAATCATCCTTCCTCTCCTTCTAGATACCGATTAGAGCTTTCTCTTAACGTTATCCAGGTTGTTAGAAAAGCAGAACTTTTATAGCCGGCTTGTTAAAATTGATATGTCTAGGTATCGAATTGAAAACATTGATTCCTTTAAAATGTAATGAATTTTGTGAAGCACAAGTCAAGAAATGTGGTGTTCTTATTTAAACTGCGTTTCTAGTATTATATTTATGAAAATATCGAGGTAGCAAACCGTTGAATACATTAAGTATGAACACCATATTCAAATATACAATTATTTGCTTCACCGAAAATCATTTTAATGCATCTAGCATTAAAGTTGTGGAAGTGAATCTATTACATTTCAAAATCAAACGCATTATTTTATCCTGCAAGCGTTGCAATCTCGATATTTATGTTTCATTGGTCAGAAATACAATGAAATGGCAAAAGTCTAGATGAGGAGAGATGATTGATTTGTAAAGCTATATTTTACTGGCAATAGTTAAATCATTTTTCAGTCGACATAAAATTCCATACTTCTTGACAATTTTCTTGATGACATTCACAATTTTCTTGATTACACGATCGTCCTCGTGAGGATCATCAAGCATCGTCCAACAATGATCATCTCTCGGACAGAACTTTCCAGGTCTATCTAAATAGCACAACATGGCAAGGAAGTATCGTTGGACCCATCAGGTTCAATCTGTTCACCTTCGATGTTCCGGCTCTTCCAAACGGTGGCACGTTATCTTTGTCCGGCTCCAAACTAGCTGCAATAATGCCACATCATTGAACAGTTTGTCCATCATTTGGGTTCCGGCTACACTCTTCAGCACATTGTTCTAGTTCCATGCTCGCCGGCTCACAAACTAGCGTCAAATTCTGGTAGAAATGCTACTTATTGTCAGTAAATGTTAGGTAACAAATGCTGCTATATGTCTGACCCAATCCAGAGATACTACACACTTAGAAATAAATAATTTTACACGTGACAGAATCCATCTTTGACATAGAGGATCCGACATAAACAAATATTTCATGTAAAATTAAGTGCTCCGAGACTGAAAAGTTCGTTACTCGACGAAAAGTACGTTTGATTGAGTTGAATTTCGCGTCTGTTACGACTCAATTTTATGTCAAAATTTCCGCTCGTATATGTCAGTCTCAGAGCACCTAAATTTACAAGATTTTTTCTAAGTGTATACGCTCCTAATGAACTTCCACGTTTCTCGGGTGCCGGTTACATTGGTCAACATTTCAACCGCTCCACATAGTTCTCGATCGATGCTCTCCGGCTCCAAACGAGCTGCAAAAATTCTCAATATCCACGGCCTCATCACTGTCACCACCAATGAACAGATTGTCTAGCATTTGGGTTCCGGCTGCATTCATTGGTTTTGACGTAGGACTACGTCTTTCGGGAAGATGGGGGTACACTTTATGAAAACCGACAAATGAAATTATGAAAGATTTTGAACGTTAATAACTTAGCTGTCCCTCGACCAATTTCTAAAAAATTATCACCAATGCATCAGAAAAATTTCCACGCATCGATAAAAACGCTTTTGACTGTTGAATTTTAAATTAAAACTATTGAAAAAGTGGTAAATTTCAAGCATTGTCCAAAAGCTTCGAAATAACTATCAAATCCACCAATTACGTACATGCATATGCTGCTTCCCCAACACAGTCATCAGATAATGGTTGCTAGATGAAACAAGTCGAAGAGACATTCGCCTTCGATCTTCGGGCGTGAACGAATACGGAGGATGCAATTGCGGAACATTTTGCTACCAATTCAGAACCACACTCCCCCAACGACCACACAAAATGCTCTCCGGGTTTTTCCTTAGATTTGCGCAAAACCGTCACGGCTATGGATGTCGTCTACACTCTGAACCGACAGGGTCGCACTCTGTACAGTTAAAACCAACGTAACAAAACGGCCACCAAGTTCATTTCAGAAAAGAGTTAGAGTAGAATTTATATAGAGTAACCCATGATTCACCCATTCAATTTGTCACTAAATACATCAATCAAACATCAAATAATTTTTTAGGGAAATAAATTATGTTCTATTTGTAGTCTTATCGGCGGGTTAAATTTATTCCGTTTCACTTTCAT